ACTGATGAGTCTTACATTAATCAATGACTTCATTGTGAATCATGCTCTTACAGGGTACTTTACCATTGAAATAAATCTCCAACCCCCTCCTCCCTTTTTTTTTTTTTTTTTTTTTTTTGTGGTGCTAGGGATTGAACCCATGGCTTTGTGCATGTGAGGCAAGCACTCTCCCAACTGAGCTATATCCCCAGCCCCTCCAGCCCTTTGTTATTTTGAGACTGGGTTTTTACTAAGTTTCATAGGGCCTCTGCAACTTAGGGGGCCCCTTTCTCAAAATAAAAGACTGGGGAGGAACCTGAGTAACGTAAAAACATTCCTGGGTTCAATCTACAATACAAAAATAAATAATCAGACTGGCCTTGAATTTAGGATTCTCCTTCCTCAGCCTCCCAAGTCACTAGGATTACAGGTGTACATCACTCTGCCAAACCCAAAATATTTTTTTTAAGAATATATTTCTGGGGCTGGGGATGTGGCTCAAGCAGTAGCACGCTCGCCTGGCATGTGTGCGGCCCGGGTTCAATCCTCAGCACCACATACAAAGATGTTTTGTCCGCCGAGAACTAAAAAATAAATATTAAAAAATCTCTCTCTCTCTTTAAAAAAAAAAAAAAAAGAATATATTTCAGGGCTGGGGTACAGCACTTGGCCTAGCATGTGTGAGGCACTAGGCTCGATTCTCAGCACTGCATATAAGTAAATAAAGATCCATTGACAACTAAAAAAATATATATTTTTTTTTCTTTTTTTTTCCCCTGAGCTAAGTGTGGTGGCACATACATATAATCCCAGTGACTTGAGTAACTGAGTTAGGAGAATCTTCAATTTGAGGCCAGCCTTAGCAACCCTTGGCCTCAGCAACTTAGACACTGTCTCAAAATAAAATAAAAAGGGCTGGGGATGTAGCTCTGAGAGAAAACCTGTCTAACATGTATGAGGACCTGAGTTCAATTCCCAGTATCACAAAAATAAGGAAAATAAACCAAATACTTTATTTTCAAAACAAATTAAGGTTACATGGATGAAGGCAGGAGAAAGCTTTGCTGATAATCACTACTTATGAAGTGTGGYAAGAAAAAAAACCTGCTTAAGGTCTTATAAAACAACTGCAGGGAAGGTTGAAAACAACTGGCTATGAGAAACCATAACAAGGGAAAAATTCAGCATCAGCTCAGAATCAAACCTTTGAAAGCATCTGTTGCTCCTGGAGCACAGTTCTTGTCAGGGTGAAATTTCAGAGCAAGTTTTCTATAAGCTTTCTTAAGCTCTTCGTCACTGGCATTTCGAGAAACTCCCAGAATTTCATAATAATTTCTGCATTTCTTGATTCTATAAAAAGAGAAATAATCAGAAATTTGTTTACAAAGGGCATTTTTATATTATTATCTGCAAAATAATACATCAGTCCTCCTTCAATCTGTGAGACTCAAAACAGACTTAAAAGAAAATTAGTGAACTCATTAATGAAACATTCAAATCCTCCCATCCAGGCTTTAATGCCTTTCAAAGTACTTTTAAATCTAGTATTTTATTTTCCCTATATTCCTGTGAGTGGATAGAACAAGAATACTAATCCTTACATCAAAGTTCAGGCTCAGATTTTAAGAGATGAACCACTGGATTTCAAAGCCAGAAGAAATAGCTAACCACCCTATTTATTTATTTATTTATTTATTTATTTATTTTTAAAGAGAGTGAGAGAGGAGAGAGAGAGAGAGAGAGAGACATTTTTTTTTAATATTTATTTTTTTAGTTCTCGGGGGACACAACATCTTTGTTGGTATGTGGTGCTGAGGATCGAACCCAGGTCCCACGCATGCCAGGCGAGCGCGCTACCGCTTGAGCCACATCCCCAGCCCCCTATTTATTTATTTAGGTCCCTTCTTTCATTTCCCTTATGGCTATCTATTTAAACTGTGTTTGTAAAAAGTTAATATATACACACAGAAAAAAAAATAGCCACCATTACTAAAGTATATACAATGAAAAATCTTCCTGCTCCCTCATTTCTTGTTCCCTTGTACCTTAGGGAAAACCAGCATTAGATGTTTTTTGTGAATTCTATGTACAGAGAGAATATGCAACTAAACTACCCCATTTTTTCTTGCCTAAAGGAAACATCGTCACTTTTTTCATCTTGCAGAGTATTTTTTTTTTTTAAATACTTTGCCACTGAGCTACACCCCTAGCACACCACTCCCCTTTTTTGGTACTGGGAATTAAATCCAGGGGTGCTTAAACCCTGAGCCATATCCTCAGTCTTTTGTATTTTGAGAGTCTTGCTAGTTGCTTAGGGCCTCACTAAATTGCTGAGGCTGGCTTCAAACTTACAATTCTCCTGCCTCAGCCTCCTACGTAGCTGAGATTACAGGTATGCACCACTGCATCCAGCTAGAATTTGTAATCCTTTTGCCTCATCCTCCCGAATCACTGGGATTATAGAAGTGAGCCACTGTGTCTGGCTGAAAACAAATATTTAAAAAATAGAGTGATGATATAATTATGCCATATAGACTTTCAAGAGCTTCCCTGTATAATCATAAGAAAATAAGAGTAAAAAAGAAAAGTAACATGTTTGCAGTATAAAAATACTCTTAAATGTACAGAACACCCTGGAAAGGTCTTGGGAGTTCCCAAGCCATGCTTTGAGAACTACTGGACTAGAATATGAACCTAAGGTCAAAATACTTTGGTTTGAATCTGATCCTCCTGTATATTTAAACTGTATACCTTAGTGCTGCCTTCCAAAATGAACTAAAATTATACTCATATTTCAGAGAGTTAGTGCTATGATTAAATAAAGCATTTATGAAAGTGATTAATAGCACCTAATACTAAACATTAAGTATTATATATCTACCTCATTCTTTTTTTTAATATATATATTTTTAGTTGTAGTTAGACACAATACGTTTATTTTATTTTATTTTATTTTTACTTGGTGCTGAGGATTGAACCCAGCGCCTTGCAAGTGCTATGTGAGTGTTCTACCACTCAGCCACAACCCTAGCCCCTACCTCATTCTTTCAAAAAGCATTAGTCAACTGGGTGAGGTGGCACATGCCTGTAATCCCAGCAACTCAGGAGGCTGAGGCAGGAGGATTGAAAATTCAAAGCCAGGCTTAGCAACTTGGTGAGGCACTTAGCTACTCAGTGAGACCCTGTCTCTAAATAAAATACAAAAAATGGGCTGGGGATGTGGCCCAGTGGTTAAGCACCCCTGGGTTCAATCCCAGGTACAGAAAAAAAGCATTAATCCATCTTTTTGTATAGTATGGATGCATATACATCCCTAATCACAAGCATTTATTTTTTTAAAAAAACACTGTTTTTTTTTTTTTTTAAATTTACATTTTAGTTTTCGGCAGACACAACATCTTTGTTTGTATGTGGTGCTGAGGATCGAACCCGGGCTGCATCCATGCCAGGGGAGCGCGCCACCACCTGAGCCACATCCCCAGCCCATAATCACGAGCATTTAAAATGCCTCTAATCTTTGGTTACTATATAATTCACTTAGGTATGCAGAGGCCCACAATTTTGTTGAGGGATGAATAGTAAATCAGTAACAGGCTGGACTATAACACAGCATCTTCCCTTCCTTTAGCCCCTGGCAAACACTTATCTACTTTCCGTACCTGTAGATTTGCTTATTCCAAATTATTGATTGATTGATTGATTGATTACTAGGGATTGAACCCAGGACTCCAAATTTCGTATTCATTTATTTATTTGTTTGTTTGTTACTGGGGATTGAACCCAGGGTCTTCTACCACTGAGCTTCATCCCCCACCGTTTTTATTTTATTTTGAGATAGGGCCCTGCTAAATTGGCCTCAAACTTGCAATCTTCCTGCTTCAGCCTCCCAAATTGCTAGGATTATACGCCTGTGACACGACACCCAGCTATGGCTTTGATCGATAACATTCTTTGAAATATTAATTTTTAAATTAGTATCCTTTGAAGCTTTAGTTCCCCCTCCCATGTCTGATAATTGAACCCCAGGGCCTCATACATGCTAGGCAAGTACTCTACTCCAAAGCTACATCCCCAGGCCCAAAAGTTTTAAAATTTTGATGAAATCTAATTTATCTATTTTTTTTTCTTTTGTCACTTAGGTTTGGTTGTCATATCTAAAAACCACTTCCTAATCCAATGACATAAAGACTTACATTTATATTTTCTTCTAAGAGTTGTATAGTTTTAGCTTTTATATTTATGTCTTAAGGTCTTTGAGTTAATTTAAGTATATGGTTCAAGGTAGGAATCCAAATTCATTTTTTTGCAAGTGGATATCCAGGTGCTCCAACAATATTGTTGAATACTACTCTTTTCTCCATGAGAATGTCTTAGCACTCTTGTCAAAAATGAATGGTCCAAGGGGCTGGAGCTGTGGCTCAGCAGTAGCACACTTGCCTGGCATGTGTGAGGCACTGGGTTTGAGTCTCAGCACCGCATATAAATAAATAAAATAAAGGTCTATCAATAACTAAAAGAAATATTTAAAAAAAAATCAGTGGGCTGGGGCTGGGGCTCAGCTGTAGTGTACTTGCCTGGCATGTGTGAGGCACAGGATTCGATTCTCAGCACTACATATAAATAAATAAAATAAAGGTCTATCAACAACTTAAAAAAAATCAATGGTCCATCTAGGTACAGTGGTGCATGCCTGTAATGCCAATGGCTCAGGAGATTGAGGCAGGAGGATCTAGAGTTCAAAGCCAGTTGCTGAGGCACTAAGCAACTCAGTGAAACCTTAAATAAAACACAAAAAGGGCTGGAGATGTGACTCAGTGGTTGAGTGCCGTCCCCCCCCCACCAAATCAATATGGAAGTTTATTTCTGGACTCTCAATTTTATTCCATTGATGTATATGTCTCTCTTTATATCAGTCTGCATGGTCTTCATTATTGTAGCTTTGTGCTAAGATTTGAATCAGGAAGCATATGTCCTTCAATTTTGTTCCACTTTTTCAAAATAGTTTTGTCTGTTCTGGGTCCCTTGCATTTCCTTATGAATTTTGGAATCAGCTTGTCAATTTTCTCAATAAAATACAGATAGAGCTGGGTGTGGTGGCACCCCTGTAATCTCAGCTTTTCAGGAGGCAGAGGCAGAAGGATTGCAAATTCAAGGTTAGCCTGGGCAATTTAGTGAGACTCCACCTCAAAAAAATATTTTAAAAGGGACTGGGGATGTAGCACAGTGGTAGAATTCTTGCTTAGTAAATGTGTGAGTCCCTGGGTTCAAACCCCAATACTACCAAAAACAAAAATAAAAAAAGACAGCTAGGGGCTGGAGTTGTAGCGTTGCTTCACATGTGTGAGGCACTGGGTTTGATTCTCAGCACTGTGTATAAATAAGCAAATAAAATAAAGGTCCATCAACAACTCAAACATATTTAAAAAGAAGGACAGCTAGGATTTTGATAGGAATTGTATTGAATCTGTAAATCAATTTGAGGAATATTATCATATTATCAAAATTTTATTTTGGTATTGGGAATTAAACCCAGGGCACTTAACCAACTGAACCACATTTCCAGCCCTTTTTAATTGTTTGTTTGTTTGTTCATTTATTTATTTCTTGAAACAGAGTCTCACGAAGGGCATAGGACCTTGCTAAGTTGCTGAGGCTGGCTGACTTTGACTTGAGATCCTCCTGTGTCAGTCTACAGACCTGCTAGGATTATAGATGTGAGCCATGGCGCTTATCTTCATATTACCAATGCTAATCCTTCTAATTTCTGAAAATATATCTTCTACTTTATTCAGGTCTTCTTTAATTTCTTTAATGAAGTCTTATAGTTCATAATGTACAAGTCTTATATATCTATTTATTTATTTATTTTATTTAAAGTTTTTAGTACAGGGGATGAACCCAGGGTAYTCCACCACTGAGCTATACCCCAGCCCTTTCTTAAAATTTCAAGACAGGGTCTTGCTAAGTTGTGTAGGGCCACACCACATTGCTGAAGCTGACCTCAAACCTTTGATCCTCCTGCTTTGACCTTCTAAATTGCTGGAATTGGAGGTGTGCACCACCACTCCTGGCCAGCATTTTTTTTTTTAATGCATTTATAAATGAAATTATTTTAACTTAATTTTTAGATTATTTATTGCCAGTATATAAAAACAATTAATTTTGCATATTGATCTTATATCTTAACACCTTTGCTTAACTTATTAGTTCTAATAATATTTTTGTGTGTATGCAATTCCTTAGGATTCCTATACACAAGATATTGTTATCTACAGACATAATTTTACTGTTCATTCCAATTTGGTTGGCTTTTATTTCTTTTTCTTGCTTAAATGCCCTGGCCTGTACCTCTAAAAAAAAGCTGAATAGAAGTAGTAAGGGGTAGATCTTACCTGTCTTTTTTCTTAATCATGGTGGGAAAACAGAGATTTTTAACATTAAATATAATATTGCTATGGATTTTTTGTAGATGACTGTTATCAGATTGAGGAAGTTCTCTTCATATGAGAGCTTTTATCATGTCAAATGCTTTTGTGTTTGTGTGGGAAGTGGAGTACTAGGAAATGGACTCAGAATCTTGCATATACTAGGCAAGCACTCTATTTGTGAGCTACATTCCCTTAGGGAGACAGGATCTTCCTAAATTGTACAGTTTGAGTAGCTTCAAACTTGCAATTCTCCTCCCTCGGCCTCCTGAGTAGCTGGGATCACAGGCATGCACCACCATACCCAGTCTGTCAAATATTTTTTTCTGTAATATTGAAATGAGTGTGCATTTTTTTGTTTGTTTATTCTATTAACAGTATATTACACTGATTGATTTTTGTGTTATGTAATGTTTCTAAACAGGGATGAATTCCAGTTGGTCAAGGTGCATAATTCTTTTTACAAAATGCTGCATTTGGCTTGCTAGTATTTTATTAAAGATTTCTGGAACTATATCTAAAGGGATAATGATTAATAGATTTGCTTTCTTTCCTTTTTTTCCCCTTTTGTGGTGGGGATAAAACCCAGAGCCTCATGTGTGTTAGACAAGGGTTCTATCACTGAGCTATACCCTCAGCCCCAGTGGTTTTATTTGTGTGTGTGTGTGTGTGTGTGTGTGTGTTTTGTCTGGTTTGGGTAACATTAGCCTCACAGAGTGAGTTTGTAAGTATTAACTTCATTCATAATTTTTTTGTAAGAGTTTATGAAGGATTAATTCTTCAAATGTTTGGTAGAACTCGATGTGGTTGCACACACCTGTAATCCCATACACTTGGGAAGCGGAGGTGGAGGATTACAAGTTCAAGACCAGCCTCAGCAATTTAGTGGTTAGGAATTTAGTGAGATGCTGTTTCAAAATAAAAAATAAAAAGGACTAAGGATATGGCTTAGTGGTTAAGCACCACTAAGTTCAATCCCTAGTACTAATAAATAAATAAATAATGTTTGGTAGAATTACCAGTGAAGTCAGCTGAATTCAAGGCCTCACACATGATAATTCCCAGCTCATTTTATTTTTTATTTTGAGACAGGGTCTCACTAAGTTGCACAAGCTGGCCTTGAACTTGTGATCTTCTTGCCTCAGCCTCCCAAGTAGCTGGAATTATAGGCATGTACCACTACACCAAGCTAATTTTTCTAATTTTTAAAAAAATATATACTAGGACTGGGGATGTGGCTCAAGCGGTAGTGCGCTCGCCTGGCATGCGTGCGACCCAGGTTCGATCCTCAGCGCCACATACCAACAAAGATGTTGTGTCGCCGAGAACTAAAAAATAAATATTAAAAATTCTCTCTCTCTCTCTCTCTCTCCTCTCTCACTCTCTCTTTAAAAAAAAATACATACTAACCAATATTAATCATATAAATTAACAGGTTTCACAATGACATTTTCTTTCTTTCTTTTTGTGGTACTGGAGATAAAACCCAGAGGTGTTTTACCACTGAGCTATACCCCCAGCCCTTTTTATTTTGAGACAGGGTCTCAATAAGTTGCTGAGACTGTCCTCAAACTTGTGATCCTACTGTCTTAGCCTCCTGAGTTGCTGGATACATAGGCATGCACCACCAGACCTGGCTCACTGTGATGTTTTTCATACATGCACATATTGTGTTTTAATAGTGCCCACCCTTCCTGGCACCCTCTCCTCCATTATTTCTCAATCCAGACAGAAGAATTTGTGTATTTCATCTAGGTTATCTAATTTGTTGTTCATAGTATTCTCTTATAATCCTTTTTAGCCGGGAGTGGTGGTGCTCACCTCTAATCCCAGTGACTCAGGAGGCTCAGGCAGGAGGACTGAAGGTTCAAAGCTAGCCTCAGCAATTTAGTGAGGCTGTAAGCAACCTAGTGAGACCCTGTCTCAAAATAAAGAAATAAAAAGGGTTGGGGATGTGGCTCAGTGGGTTAAGTGCCCTTGGGTTCAATCCCTGGTACCAAAAAAAAAAAAAAATCCTTTTTATTTTTGTAGTAGTAGTGATGTCCCCTGTTTTATTACTGATTTTAATTATTTGAGCCATCTCTCTTTTTTTTCTTGGCCAGTCTATCCAAAGATGTGTCAATTTTGTTGATATTTTCAAAGAACTACCTTGTGATTTTATTGACTTTCTCTATTGTTTTTCCATTCTCTACTTCATTTATTTCTATGTTACATTATTCTATTTATCCTGCTTGTGTGTGTTTAGTTTGTTCTGTTTCTAGTTTCTTAAGGTAGAAGATTAGGTTACTGATTTATGGTCTTTTTAAAAAAACACATAAGTAGGGGCTGGGGTTGTGGCTCAGCAGTAGAGCGCTCACTTAGCGCATTCTAGGACCTGGGTTCGATCCTCAGCACCATATAAAAGTAAAAAAAAATAAAGGTATTGTGTCCAACTGCAACTAAAAAACAAAACAAAACTCATAATTTTATAGTCATAAATTTCCTTGTAAGCAGTATTTTAGTTGTATCCCATAGTTTTGGTATATTGTATTTTCATTTTCATTCATCTTAAAGCATTTTCTAGGGGCTGGGTGTGTAGCTCAGTGGTACAACATGCCTAGCATGCTCAAGACCTTGGGTTCAATCCCTAGTACCACACCCCCCAAAAAAGGGATTTTTTAATCTGCCATGACATAATTGTTTTGGGGGACTTTGTGGTTTAATTTCCACTGGTTGTAAGTATACCAAATTTCCTTTTGTTATCAATTTCGAAGCATAAACACTGTATGATTTCTTTCTTTCTTTTTTCCTTTTTTTTTTTTTTTTTTTGCACCAGGAATTGACCCAGGGGCACTCAGCCACCGATCCTCCTGCCTCTGTCTCCTGAGCAACCGGGATTACAGGTGTGCATCGCACCACCATGAAATCATGGCTTATGATTTCAATCTTTTAACATTTATCGAGATTTGTTTTGACCTAAGATATGGTTCATTCCGAAGAATAATCCCATGTATCCTTGAAAAGAATGTATATTCTCTGGTCGTTAGATAAAATGTTCTAATAGATATCTGTAATGTCTAGCTGGTTTCCTCTGCCTCTCTTAAAGCCATAGCAGGGCAGACAGCTCACATTATACCCGATATTCAATATTCCTCTTCTACCCAGTCTTTCCTATGAGGTCAAGAAGCTATTGTGCTTTAAAAATAGAAGTAATAATGTCAATACTTACACAGCACATCCTTTGTGCCAGGCATTCTTCTAAGCACTTTACATACAATCATTCATTTCATCTCACCACATGCTTACCTTTGTACCCCAAGCAGTTGTTCCTCAGTATAAGTGGAGCTCCCTTCACCCTGTCGATTCTGATTCCACTCATTCTCGCACTTCTTTTCCTTCTGTGCCTTCATGCAGTTACAACAACCACAGGGGTCATGACTCTCAGGAGGTTTGTCTTCTGGGTATTTGTTTCTTCTAACTGCATCAATATAAGCTGCAAAGTAATAGCTTCTCAATAAGGCCTCTGCCTGACTTTGCAAATCAACTTTGCTATATGCCTTAACTCTCTTAGAGGTTGCTTGGAGACAAGAGAAGGAAGGTATTAGGAAGAGGCAAAGGACATTATGCCGACTTTTTTTTTTTTTTTTTTTTTTGCAGGGGAGTGGTCCTAGGGAGTGAACCTAGGGCCTCAGCACGCTAGGCAAATGCTTTATTATCAGCTACATACCCAACATGCTGACTTTTGAGTATCTATACAAAGCTGAATAAACATCTTTCCTGGAAAACTATTACAGAAAATATGAGAAAGAAGCTGAGAAAAACTTAGAAATGCTAGAAATATGAAGCACAGCCTATATTCCCAGCAACTTGGGAGTCTGCAGGAGGATCACAAGTTCCAGGCTAGTCTCTGCAACTTAGTGAGACCCTGCCTTAAAATAAAAAGGGCAGGGCTGGGGCTGTGGCTCAGGGGTAGCACATTTGCCTGGCATGTGTGAGGCACTGGGTACGATTCTCAGAACCACATATGAATAAATAAAATAAAGGTCTATCAACAACTAAAAAGTAAATAAATAAATAGGGCTGTGGATGTAGGCCAGTAATAAAGTGCCCCTGGATTCAATCCCCAGTACTATGAAGGGAAAAAGAGGAACAAAGAAAAGAAACATGAAGTATAGAAAGTCTACCATACTTAACAATGGTCAATCATCAAATAAAGTCAGAAAAGGGGGCATCTACTCAAAATCCTGCTTCTAGTGCAATACAGGGGGAAATTCATTTCTCTCTGCTCCATGGTCAGAAGCAACATTGCTCAGAAAATGAAACTTCTTATTACTCCTAAGATTTAAAGTAGAGAGAAATTCAATTATTTTAAACTAACAATTATATATACCAAGAAACTTGGCTAGATAGTTCAGGGGGGAATGTAGGAGTAAGACCTACTCCTAACCACAAAGAGGTTAGTTTAATAGGAGAGGATTCAATAAATCATAACATCAGCAGAATGTAAAGAGAGTTTCATGAATTCAAAGAGAGCAGAGCCTCATAGTCTTGTCTGGAGAATCCGGGAAAGGCTTTAAAAACATCATTTCCTGCTTAACATCCTTCAGTGACTACCCATTGCTCCCTGACACTCCTCCTATAAGTGGGCCTAACTCCAATGAATCCTTCATACCATCATTTGTAACATTTACTTCAAGAAGCCTCCCTTGACACTCAGGGCTGTGCTGGGCCTTATCAGTGTGCTTCAAACCCCCAACCTTGCTATGTTAGCCCAAGGCTTACTGGGCTTGTTTTGTAATTAGTAGATAACCCTTCAAACTCTCTCATTGAGCCTACAGTTCTGTTGGCTCAGAGGCCCAGGTCTGTCAAATCCCCATTATAGGTTCAACACAGTAAGTGATGGATCAATACTTTTTGCTTGGCTATAGGATGGAAAATAGCAGCCTATAGGTCCTGATTCATATTGCAGGGGCAAGATCAAACCAGGACTGAGGGTCGTGCGGCCCAGTTTGATGGGGTAATAGATAAGGTTAAGATAGCAAGCTGCAGGAGACCGCAGCAGCAGCACCCGGGGGACCCTCCAGTTACCCTGGTGAAGGAGGGGCAGGATGGCAGCGGGGGCCCTGGGCGGGGCACGGGGCAGGGCGGGGCTGGGGGCCGGAGGCAACAAATCGTCACCGGTGACTCTAAGTTCCCGCCGGGGCCCTAGCTCCGGCCAGAGTTCCCGTTCCGGGATTCTGGCCTGTATCCTGGGCGGTCCTCCACCCTTTTCSGAATGCTGCTTAAGCTTAGCATCTTCTTACAGGCCTCCATCCTTCACCTCGAGCTCWGGATCTCAACCTTTATGCTCTTTCAGGAGCCCCATCCCTGATTTCTCCGGAATGCCACTTTATCCCACCCTCAAGCCAGGACCTGGTACCTTCGGTCCAGCGCTCCCCGCTGCCCAGAGTGGCCGCCATATCCGTTCCCTGTCAGCAGATGCTTGGAGCCTCCTGGGCGCCCGAGGCTGAAAGAGAAGGGGGGCACGGAGCGCGGGGCACGCTGGTCATTGTAGTTGTCTGTATGGGCTACAGGGGGCACTGGACTACAATTCCCGGCAGGCCTCACGAGAAAGGTCTGCGGAGGTGCAGAGTGACCAAGGGGCTCGACCCAGAGAATAGCACGGGTGCGGCTAAACGACCACTGCGCAGCTACCGACACTTCCTCACCTGTAGAGAGCGAGTAGCGGCTTCTGCCCTGCCTCTACCTCAGTGCATCCAAGGAGGCGCAACTGAACGTCCTGCCTGCGAAGAGCTTCGCAATCTATAGGGTAGAGGGTGTCAATTTGACTCTACTCTTCAGGATGTCCTTTTTAAAATACACCAATTCCTGTTCAGTGTGAAGTCTATGTTGGGCCCCAGAGATTTAGAGATGGTTTGTGGGGTGCACACTCCAGTTCTGGGGAGCTTAAGAGCCACGAAATTAGAATTAGAAAAATGAAGTAGTTGTAGATGGACAGCATACCTTTATTTTATTTGTTTATTTTTACATGGTGCTAATGATCGAACCCAGTGCTCGAGACTTTTCTCCCACGCAGGCGTTTCTTTGGCCGGTTCCTTTTCTGAAGTACCAAATCTGGTGCTGAGGATCGAACCCAGGGCCTCACACGTAATCCCAGCTATTGCAGAGGCTAAAGCAGGAGGATTGCAAGTTCAAGGCCGGCTTCAATTTAGTGAGGCCCTAAGCAATTTAGCAAGACCCTTGTCTCAAAAAATAAAAAAAGGCTGGGGATGTGGCTCAGCGTTTAAGCGCCCATGTGTTCAATCCCTGGTACCAAAAAACATAAACAACACAACAACAACAAAGATAAACGAATAAAATTTTTAAAAAGGGCTGGAATGTGACTCAGTGGTAAAGCAAGTGGGTTCAATCCCCAGTAGAGAGAGAGAGAGAGAGCGCTAGATAGAGAGGCGCTAGGGTTGTGGCTCAGCAGTAGAGCACTCGCCTAGCACATGCAAGGCCCTGGGTTGGATCCTCAGCACCACATAAAAATAAATAAATAAAACAAAGGTATTGTGTCCAACTACAACTAAAAAATAAATATGAGAGAGAGAGAGAGAGAGAGAGAGAGAGAGAGAGAAGGAAAGAAAGAAAGAAAAAAAGAAAAAGGTCTGGATGGCTCTACTGGCTACAGTATCCTCATTCACTGACTCATGCATGCAGGAAGATGTGGGTGGGTTGGAATGTCCAAAGATCAGATCTAGGAAATGGCAAAACTGTCATCTCAAAAACAAACAAAAATACACCTGAAAAAAAACTGGAATTCATTCAGAGCTTCACCCAAGAAGACTAAATCAATTATGATAGCAGCAGCTACTTAGGCTTTTGGGGGAGTGGGGTAGGTGTGGTGATGATGGATAACCCTGGACAGGAACTGGAAGAGGAAAAGTCCCAAATGGCATGCAATTTCAGCAATTCCCTGCAACAAATCATTGTGCGGCCCTGGCCAACTCCCTTCTTCTCCTTTGGCCTCAGTTTTCTTACCTGTAAGATGATTTCCACCTTATAGAATTTTTTGGATGGGAATTATATTGGGGTTTGAACCCAAGTCCTCACATACATCTCACCTATGAGGTTAGATTAGATTAGATTGGTGGTTTTAATTTTATCTATCTATCTATCTATCTATCTATCTATCTATCTATTTTTATTTTGCAGTGCAGGAGATTGAACCTAGGGCCTTGCAGTACTGGACAAGTGCTCTACCACTGAGCTACATCCCCAACCCTGTCTCTGGGATCTTATATAGAGAGTGGGAAGGGGAAGGAAGGCACATCAGGTAAGGCTCTAGCATCTTACCTTTATTTGCTTCTTCAATCAAAGTAGCTCTACTTTTTTCTGGCTTACATTTTGTGGTCTACTAAAGGAAAAAAAAACCCCACTATTTGAAAACTACCAAACTAATTGACCACTAAATGCTTGTGTCATTTGTAGCATCAATTACAAAACAAGTCCTTAAGATAATGCTCTGCAGTGCCCCCAATCCCAATAAGCACTGATATTGGATCATTTTCATTTGACTGAGCAGGGAGAATTAGCATAGTTGTTGAGAGATCTGAATAAGATTGTTATAGAATATAATAAGAGTGTTTGTATTTAGTATCTTATATTGCATGTAGTATGTGTTTAATACATTGTAGCCAACCATTATGAACTAGCTTGGTGAAAGAGAAACGTTTGTGTGTGTTTGTGTGTGGTTCTGGGGGTTGAATCCAGGACCTCATATATGATAGTAGATGCTCTACCACTGAACTACTTCCCCAGCCCTTTTTTTTGGGGGGGGGGGGTAGGGGATACTGGGGATTGAAGCAGGAGCACTTGACCACTGAGCCTCATCCTCAGCTCTATTTTATATTTTTTATTTAGAGACAGGGTTTCACTGAGTTGCTTAGTGCTTCACTTTTGTTGAGGCTGGCTTTGAACTCACAATAGTCCTACCTCAGCATCTAGAGCCTCTGGGATTACAAGTGTGAGCCAAGCCCTAGCCCCCTTTTAAATTTTATTTTGAGATAGGGCTTCACTAAGTTGTCCAGGCTGGCCTCAAACTTATGATCCTCATGCCTCAGCCTCCTGAGTAGCTGGGATTACAGGTGTGTGTGCCACTGTGCCCAGCAAGAAATCATTTTTTTGTGTGTGTTTTGTTATAGCAAATTAACAGTAGGGATGTAGGGTTGGGGTTGTGGCTCAGTGGTACAGTGCTCACCTAACACAGGTGAGGTACTGGATTTTGTCCTCAATGCCACCTAAAAATAAATAAATAAAGTCATTGTGTCCATCTACAACTAAAGAAGAATATTTTTAAAAATGTAGGAGTGTATACTGGGCATATCTATACTGGAGTATGTCATAAGGTCTTGGTTATGACTAACTGGACTCCTGATATGTGGTAAAATTACTACAAGTAGGAAAGAGCATAACACTACCAAGAATGGCGGGAAAGCTGCTTTTCCCTTCACCCTAACCCCTGAACCAGCAGCCAAAGCCAGTGATTATCCCATATTTCAGAAAGAGCAGAAGATGACAAAAATATGAGAAGAAACGTCCATCACAATTAGATTGTTATACTCTTGAGTGGCAAGGGAGGCACCCAAACCATAAGATGAGTCAAAGGCTCTATGCTGGGACCCTGGGCCTATGACCAGCTTATATATTCCAGGCAGCAGTGTGATTACAGAAATTTAGATCCTGAAGGAGCTACTTGTGATCTGTGGCTCAGGAACCTAATCAGTAACATCCAGCAGGTGGTTGTATATAAGGAAGTTTTTTTTTGGTTCTGGGAGGGTAGACAGCCTGCTCGAGAAGATGGCCAGCTGAGATGGACTGCAACTTGGAGCCAGAATCACATGATTAAAGTCTACAGGTACTCAGAGATGTCTCAATATCATGAAGTCATGGGTATCTGGCTGAGAGGGGGAGTGCAGGATTGAGAAGGGGTACCATGAATAAAGAAACTAGTTAGGAGCAGAATCCAGGTACTGGAAAGGCTGGGTATAGTGGTACACACCTGTAATTCCAGGTACTGGGAAAGCTGAGGCAGGAGGATTGCAAGTTTTGGCTGTTCTGGCAACTTAGTGAGACCCTGTCTCAAAATAAAAAGTCCTGGGAATATAGCTCAGTGGTAGAGCACTTTCCTAGCATGTGCAAAGCCCTGGGTTTAACCCCTAGTAATAAAATAAAAAGGAGGATATCCACAAACCCAGGAAAGACTGGTAAAAAGAGTCATAAATRTTTTCCGACAGATTCACATAGAATTTTTTAGGAATAACTTGATTTTGGGAAATTGTGTGCCAAAGTTAGGCCAAGGAGGCCTGCAGCCAGGTTTTCCCATTTTCTACACTTACTTTAAAAAAATACTTGTTGAATTGTAGTGAATTTTTCCTGTTGATCCAGAGGTTTTCGATGTGCTCTGTAAGACTGAGTTCTGCCCCATCCAGGCCTGAAAGAAAGATACTGGGAAAACAGTCCTCCCATCCATGGGGCCTGTGTGCATGAGCTGGTGTATTGGTTGCCCTCCCATAGGATTGGGGAATAAATGAGAGGACACTTTACATAAGTCTCCCCACCCCACCACTTGCTCCTGCTTTAGGACCATGTAGTCCTATATCAGAAAAGGGAGGAAGTCATTTGTAAATGGCCACCATCCTGTTGTCTAGACAACAAGGAGGAGATGTGGTCTTAGGGAAGCTGCAAGGGCAGCAGAAGGCTACACTCGGATTTCCTGTCAGAGGTGGGGTCTTGTATTTGCATAAATAAAAGTATCCTCCCAAAAAAACCCCTCTAACATAGTTTGCTCAAGAGAAGAATTCAGCATTGAGTTCATCCTCAACCCCTTCCCAAAGTATAAAGTTTACTTAGCAGCAGGAAAATCAACATGGCTAATGTGGTACTGCAATTTCAGCAGTAGGGTAAGAGACTTTTAAACCCAAAGATATTAATTTAATACCAGTTCACCCCTTCTCCCATACAAATAAATACCTTATGACTAACAGCTCATATTTGCAGGACATTGTCCAGAGTCAGGAGAAATCTGTGGCCTTATAATGGAGACGCTGACTGAATTATCTAGAGTGAGACCCACACACTTGACCAATTAGTTCAGTATGCTAAGCATTTGAATAAGTGCCCTAAACAGAATCCAAGACTTTTTTATACATTGTTATGTCACCTGGAGGGTTCTATCCCAGTGATAGATTTTTGTATTGGAACTGACTAGTAAGTCATGTGCCTTTTGCAGTGTGGTATAAATCAAATGTATGTGAATTATTTTTTTAAAAATGCTGTAGTATTGCTACATAGGTTGGATCCTCTAGGAAATGACTGAAATGCTGAGATTTGCCTACTGAGGGTTTATTGGTGATGCTTCTGAAAACTACAGTTGTGAAGAGTAAGAGGAGCAGGATTGAGCAGGGGGGAAAATTGAGGCAAGGGGTCCAGGTTTTCATCCCTTCCCTCACCCCCACCAGCCAGCCATCAAGCAGCCAAAAACTCTCTGCGGCCAGCACACTGCTGCAATTGGGGAACAAATATCTTAGTCCTGAAGTGGGACCTGGGTGGTACTGCTTTAGATTGTCTGCTACAATTGCTGATGAGTACTTTACTTCCCAAGTATCTCCACTTGTTATTTCATTTTACCTACCCAGTAGCTTGTGAGGAGAGAAGGAATTCCTAAGAATGTTAAAGACTTGCCAGTGACACCTAGGTCGTGTCTCTGGCTCCCACCAGAGTAAACTCTGCTCAACAGATTCATTTCATTCATTCATTCATTTTTTTWAWTTWWTTTTWWTTTTTTTTTTAGATCTAGAGTTCACAGAACTGTGGGATATAAAACAAAAGAAGTTAGTGAAAGCCAAGTAGTCCAGCCACCTCACTTTATTATTTATTTTTGGTGCTAATGATTGAACTTACAGCCTTGTACATGCAAAGCAGATGCTGTACCACTGAGCTACACACCTTTAGTCCCCAACAAGCTCTCTTTAGTATCTCCCTCCACCCTCCCTCAACCTCCAGAGCCACTGAGACAATAGGTGTGTGCCACCGTGCCTAGCCCACTTTAATAGTTTTTTGGAGGGGTTTTGGGCACTAGGGATTGAATCCAGTGGCACCTTACTGAGCTACACCCCCTGTCCTTTTTATTTTTTATTTTGACACAGGGTCTTGCTAAATTGATGAGGGCATATATGAATTGCTGAGGCTGACTTTGAACTTGCAATCCTTCTGCCTCAGCATCCTGAGTTCCTGGGATTATAGGCATGTACCACCATGCCTAGTATTTTTTTTTAATTGGGAAAATTGAGATATCTGGTCCCAAAGACCACTTTATTTGACAATCATGAAAATGATTCAAGGGATCATCAAAAAAACATGAGAGATGAAATCACAAAGCAAGTGTAACTAACCCTTGAGTCTTATCTGTTGTGTGTATCCAGAGCTCTGATTTCTTAATCTGTAAAATGGAGAGAACAATAACTATCTTACCAACTCAGTGAGTTATGATGATGATCAATAGCAGAGTTCTGCAAACTCTCAAACAACATTATGAGCTGGAATACCAAGAGGAACCCCATAAGTGTAGAACATGCACATATCAATAGGTATAGACATGTCAAAATGCAATCATGCCTAGTATTTTATAGTTTAACTGAGACAAATAAAACAAAACTTTTTGTTCTAGACATTCTGTCTTACACCACTTTATGAAGTCAAAGCCAGAAGAAAATAGCATACTGTTCCTGCAGGTGAGTAAGCTCCATTCTCCCTGTGTCCTAAACTGCCGATTAGCAGTAGATTAGATACACACAGATGACTTCTCTTGATTCATTTCCAAACCAATGACATGGTAGACATGACTATTACTAAGAAAACAGATATTTCCTTTCTTTTTAATGACTTCACAGTATGTCTGCAATCCTTTATTATGTTTCTAGGACACAAACACAATGTCAGTCAAAGGTCAAATGTGTGGGTTTTTGGACCTTAAAGACCTATCCTTGAAGTAAATCTTCCCAGTGCTCATCTCATGCTCAGAACCAAAATGAAGTGTATCCATGCTGGCAGAAGACACTTGAATTTCATTCAGCTTTCACTCCTGGAGTTTCTTAGTCAAAATGGATTGTGCTTCCCTTGTTTTTATTCTACAGATTTAAAACTTTGTATTGCCTGGGCTGAGAATGTGGCTCAGTGGTAAGGTGATTGTTCAATCCCTAGCACTTCAAAAAACAACCTTTTTTATTGGTGATGATTGGTCTCTGTTTACAGTCCCTTGTGTCTCATTTCTGTTGAGTAGGTCAGTCAGTTACCTCAACCTCACTTAATAAAATAGGTGAACAGAGGCAGACTGAATAAAAAGTTCCTCTCCCACATTTCTCAGAGAGCTTCCCACAGAAGCAGAAAGAGGTATGCATGCTTGGCCTAGCAAAGAAAGCTGGAAAGCTTCTGGAATGTTAAAAAATGTACAAGGGAGCCAGGCATGGTGGTGCACACTTGTAATCCCAGCAACTCAGGAGGCTGATACAGGAGGATTACAAGTTCAAGGCCAGCCAGGGCAATTTAGGGAGATCCTGTCTCAAAACACAAAAAGGACTGGGGATGTAGCTCAGTGATAAAGTGCTTGAAAGTATGAGGTCCTGTATTTGTACCACACACACAAAGAGGAAGAAATGTGCATAGAAACGTAGACCTTAAAATAAATTGGACTGCAGACTAGAAAATAATTTTAATGCAAGTATAAAGGATCAATCCACTGCGGTATTTTTCCTTCTTCTTGCTTTATAGGCTGCTCCTTCGTATGACTCTAGAAAGAAGAGGACCAGGCCATATTTCTGTCTGTATGGGAAGCAGTCTCTCATGCTGGAAGCTTGCTGCCAGATCTGGAGGAGTGCCAGTGTCCTTTGGATCCAGGAGCAGACACAAAACAATAAAATAATTTATATATGGTTTATTGCCTCTATCAATTTCATCWCTTCCTCCTTATAGTCATGGAACAGCTGCATCATCCTTGGACCCATGGGGACCAAAGTCACTTTTAAAGAACCTGCAAAATGAATACATAATGAGGAAGGGTGAACTTCTTAGGAAGGGGAGGGTAGGGGAAAGGGCAGAAGAACATGGGTCTTTGGAAGTATTTCCTTGCTGACCAAGAACCAGAGCCTGAAAATAGGAGCAGGAGGAGGGAAATATGAATTTGGAGAAGGAAGGAAATAGATAAATGTACCTTCTCTGCTGAGGGGCAGCCTTTGCTGTTATTCATGTTGATATTCTTCATGGAGATGAGGGTGATGCTTTCTTTTTCTCCATTGGCTGTGGAGCAGCTGGGACAGGAAGGAAGTTTGTGTTACAGAAAGAAGCTGGAAGGGCAATGAGAGGCAAGGAACCCAGCAGGGGCGGGGGTGTGCGCTTCAAAAACATCTATATTTAGGGGGTGCACCATAGTGAACCAAGAGTGAGCTTTGAGGGGCTGGTATTGTGGCTCAGTGGTAGAGTGCTTGCCTAGCATGCTCGGGGCCCTGGGTTCAATCCTCAGCACCACGTAAAACTAAATGAATGGAATAAAGGTATTGTGTCCAACTACAACGAAAAAAATAAATAAATATTTTTTTTAAAAAAGAGTGAGCTTTGAAGCTTCAAAGACTTGCATTTACTACCCATTACTGATTTGATCTTGATCAAGTTACAACTTCCCTACAGCCTCAATTTTTAAATTTTATTTTTTATATTTGGTATTGGAGATTGGACCCAGGGCACTCTACCACTGAGATACACCCCAGCTACACCCCCAGCCCTTTTTATTTTTTAAATTTGAGACAGGGTCTTGCTAAATTGCTGCCTCAACCTCCCAAGTAGCTCAGATTATAGGAATGTGCCACCACAGCTGACCCCCTCAGTTTTTTAATTATATAAAATGAAGTTATATTTACCTTGGAGAATTGTTGAAAGGATTTGAGCTCATATTGCACATTACATACTATTAAGAGTGGCCCAGTCAATATGAGGTTCCTAAACTTAGAGGAGAGGTCTTATCTTAGAATCTGCATTCCTATAATTATCATTAAGGGCTTAGCCCTGGAGCTGAAGAGTTCCTTGGGGGATGGGCGGGCATGGCATTTGCTCGGAATCCCAGCAGGTTAGGAGGATGAGACAGGAGTATCACAGGTTCAAAGCCAGCCTTAGCAATTTAGCGAGGCCCTAAGAAACTTAGGGAGACCCTGTCTCAAAATAAAACATAAAACAGACTGGGGACGGGGCTCAGTGGTTAAGCACTGGGTTCAATTCCTGGTATCAAAAAAGAAGAGTTCCCATCCATCTCGTGTCACTTGGTTGTTTCTTTTCAGGTCTGCCACTGGCCTTCCTACACCTACTCCCGGCCTCAGTAAAGGCGACAGGATTATGGTGTGTGTGTGTCAGCGGTGTGTGATGTGTGATTTGTATGGTGAGTGTGTATGGGGTGTATATATATGTGTGAGGTGTAYGTGATGCGTGGTGTGTGGCGTGTGATGTGGTGTGTGTGTGTGTGTGTGCACGCATGTGTGTGTGAGGCAGGAAGTGTTTTCCTTTTGGAGWAGAGAAAAAGGGGGTCAGATAGAAGATGCCTCCCTTGAACTTCTGACAGTCTTACCTTTCAGATAGTCCTGAACTCCCTGGTTTCTGGGGATCTGTAAAAATGCAAGGACATACATTAGGGTCACATGCTATAATTCAGAAGTTCAGCCTTCCCCTCAAAGCCCACCCAAGGGGATCTTTCCAACTCATCCATGGGGCTTATAGGCTTGTGCCATTCCTTCCCTCAGCCTGAACTGGGTGTCCACCTTGGCCTTGGGCTCCAGGTCCCCCAGCACAGGGGAAAGACATATACCTTCTGACTCCTTGTTCTTCCGACACTTAAACCTTAGACTGACCACAGCGACTAGGATGATCACCACAACCACCAAGATGACAATGAAGCTGATCACACCTGAACAGGGAAAAGAATGGGGTTAAGGAAAGATGATGAAAGGGGACAAGAGGGGGCAACAAGAGTCCAGAATACCCTTCCTGGCTAAGTACTATATAGACAGGCTTGGGGAACAAAGTGAATTTCACTTCTCTGCTGAACAAATGAGCTATCAGCCTGCTGTCCCTGGCTGGAGTGGGCTTTACAGCCTAGCTCCCTCCTGTCATAAGAACATGGAGTCCAGCACAGCCAAAAAGAGCTGGCTAGAGGGCCAATGGAACCTTTCTTCCATCAGTGCCTTGCTCATTAGCCAATCCCTCCTGGAACAAATGGGTAAGATTTGAATTTGTGTGCTCAGACCCAGATCCTACCCCCACATCCTAATCTTCCCTTCCTTTCTCACCAAAGGCAGCCACAGTGAGCACGGTCGCTAATGTGGGGCTAGGCAGGATGGTCAAGTCTTCCATCATACTTGAGTCCATGGTGACTGAATTAGAAGTATCATTTTGAGATGTTTCTGAAACAGAGTGGGTTTGATGTATCAGTGAAGGGTGCTGACACAGCTACCAAAGACAGCTAGCTTCTCTCCTGCTCCCCATATACAAGGCTACAGAGTCACACCCTACAAGACTTCTTTGTCGCTCTGGCCAGATCTCATGGGGATAGAGGTTGGAAATGTAGACTGTGAAGATGTGGGCTCATCTGAACAGCACTGCTAGTTGCTCACGTTACTGGTTTCAGAGGATTCCAGAAGGTTCAGGATGTTTCCCACTACTCTTTGGAGCCCACAGGAAAAGGATTTATGCTTTAGAGCTAGGAAGCCAGATCAGGCTAGGTAGAGTTGTTCTGTGTTTTGCCAAGGATTGGAAATGATTCAACAAATTGGGTTGTCAGTTAAGGAGACAGTACAGGTGTTGGGCCCTCTTAAAAAGTGGCATGTCACTCCACTCCTCCCCTGTTCAACTAATTGTATCTCAGGCCAGACTGCTGTTCCATTTCCTTATCTCTCCTCACCCCCCTCCCAAATAAGTCTGGAGAGTAAACTATCCAAGAGCCACGGGACAGCTTGAGAGAAAGGGCCACAAGACATCTCCAACCCCCCTCTTTGCCATGCAGGACATACCTCCCTTTGCGCTGCTGCCGCCTCCGCCACTGCTGCTACTGCTGTGTGGAGCTCCAGTGCCTGTGTGGGAAACAGGTGGCCACAATAGAGGGTGTCCACCCTCCCCAGCCTTGTCTGAGAAGCATAGCCTTTCTCGACCTTTTCTGCCCTCCAGCCCCTTCTTCTCTTCATCTATGTCTTTCTTGGTCCCAGGTCCAGTCTCATTTTGCCTTCTCTGTGGCCAGGCCTAACTTCTTCTTTTTTTTTTTTTTTTTAAATATTTATTTCTTAGTTCTCGGCGGACACAACATCTTTGTTGGTATGTGGTGCTGAGGATCGAACCCAGCAGGCCTAACTTCTTGTCTCAACTCCTCTCCAGATCTCTTTCATTATTTCCAAACTAAGGTGCAACTGATGCGGCTCCTAGCCTCAAGACCCCCATACCTGTGCCTCCCAAGGAGGGGAAGAAGGACCCCATCCAGATGTAACGCAGGGTTCTTCACCCCCTGTCCCTCCCATCCTGGGTACTCACTAAGTTCCACTGTGTGCTTTTGTGCCTGGGCCTGAGTCAGGTTCTTAAAGGAGTGCCCATCTGTGTCGCTTGATCTCCCTGTTACAGGGTTCCTGGATCCCAGGGGGCTTTGTGGGGTCTTCTGTGAAGTTGCTGTGCATTAGGAAACACAAATGGCCTGCTCAGGGCCTCAGGCAGCCCATGCACAGAGAGGGCTTGTTAGTCCAAAATCCTCCTCTTCTTTACTGCTTACAACTCCAGAAGCGGCCATTCTCTGGTTCACCTCTGGGCCTTTACCCTTGATGTTCATTCTGCCTGGCACATACCCCATCATCCTACACCTCACCACCTTCACCTATTCATAACTCCTTCTTGGGTCAGTTTTGGAGGCCAATGCCTCTGGGAATCATACCTGGCCCCCCAAGTCTGAAGGCTGATATTTGTCTGGCCTCTACAGCATTTTTTACTCTTGCCCATGAACTTTCCCCCTGCTTTATAAAAATTGCTAGTGTGAGGCTTTGTAGGCTTGTCCCTTCCCCCACTGGTCTATAGTCTCCTGTAGAGAAGATGCAGTGTCTGGGTCCTCCCCAGTTCTTCCCTGGATGGCWTTTGTGGTATCAAAGGCCCAGTACCTGGGATACTGGAGCTGAAAAGAAGCCTTGGGCTGCCAAACTCGGAGGAAGATATTTCTCCTGCAAGGATGGAGGCAGTTGGAGAGTTGGGGGTTAGGCAAGTTTGGTGACACCCCAATCCCTTGCCCATCCAAGAACTCTGGAGCTTTAAACAGGTTTGAATGGCTGGGGGAAGGGGATGGGAAGAGGGAAGGCCCCCAGGCAAGCACACTCACTCACCTGTATTGGGAGAAGTTGGCTCCGTGACCAGACTTAAACTGCTAAAGGGTCCTGAAACAGATCATTTTAGGTTGAAGGGTCTGCTACCTCCTAGCTCTCTGTGCCCTTTTCTTCTTCTCTATATTTGGTATTTTCTGGTCTTTCTTCCTACCCGTCCTCCACCCCCTTCATTTCTCCCCTCTTTCAAGACATGTTAGGCTGGGCCAAGTGAAAAATATCCCTCTGTGAGCTCAGCCTTAGATGAGCCACTGAGAACTGTGGCCCCAGCCCCAGAGCCCTGGGGTCAGTGCTAAACTGGCCTAGCGCTCCTCTCACCTTTCCGAAGCTTCTAGGCCCAGATGCTAGAATAGGACCCACAAGTTGGATCCTACCCTGAGCAGTCTGGATTTTCATGGACTGGAAGGAAGGCGCACATGGCAGAGGGCTAAAGGATAGGTCTCCAGCTCATGGTGTTGGCTTCCATTAGAA